CCTACTTACACAAATTCTCCAGGAGGCATGTAGCTAATTGTGTACACAGAGTCCTTAGCAAATGACGTTGAAGGTGCCTTGTAAAATCTCTGCGGCTTACAACTTTCAGCAGATATGCAATTCCCAAATGGCTGGTAGGATGCAGTGTAAGTTGTTTCAAAACACATATTTCCTTCAAGCGAAAGATTGTCTGGCCGTCGCAAAGATTTGCGGCGACACAGTGCAGTAGTATCTGCGTCGGTTCCAGGATGAATGTAGCTCAGTGTGTACACCGAGTCCTTAGCAAATGGTGTTGAAGGTGCCTTATAATATGTCTGCGGCTTACAGCATTCAGCAGGTCTGCAATTCCCACTTGACTGGTAGGATGCAGTGTAAGTTGTTTCAAAACACATATTTCCTTCAAGCGAAAGATTGTCTGGCCGTCGCAAGGACTTGCGGCGACACTGTGCAGCAGTATCGGTGTCGGTTCCAGGATGCATGTAGCCCAGTGTGTACACCGAGTACTTAGCAAATGGTGTTGAAGGTGCCTTATAACATCTCTGTGGCTTACAACTTTCAGCAGGTCTGTTATTCTCAATTGGCTGGTAGGATGCACTGTAAGTTGTTCCAAAATTCATATCTCCTTCAAGAGAAAGATTGTCTGGCCGTCGCAAAGACTTGCCGCGACACTGTGCAGCAGTATCTGCGTTGGTTCCAGGATGCATGTATCTCAGTGTGTACACCGAGTACTTAGCAAATGGTGTTGAAAGTGCCTTATAACATCTCTGCGGCTTATAACTTTCAGCAGGTTTGCAATTCCCACTTGGCTGGTAGGATGCACTGTAAGTTGTTTCAAAACTCATATCCCCTTCAAGAGGAAGATTGTCTGGCCGTCGCAAAGATTTCTGGCGACACTGTGCAGCAGATTCTGCGTCGTTTCCAAAATAATACAGTTTGTATGCAGAGCCGTCTTCGAATGGTACAGTTGGCTTCTTATATACACTTATAGGCTTGCATGACTTCGCAGGCCAAAGTTGAATGTTCTAAGACCCATTCCTTCCGAATGTATTACTTCTCATTTTTTCTGAAGTTCCGTTGCGTTTGTGAAAGCTGCCGCAGCACTTAAAAACATTTGAATTCCTCTTGTTCCAGCAGATTATCTAATAATTACTGTTCTTGTTTCAAGTTAAGACGGCGTTCTAATTCTCACTCTTACAGATTGCTTTACACAGGTCTGGTCTCTTTAGTTAGCTTCGTAAGAATGAAATCGAGATCACTGTCTCCAAAAGTACCGTTACTGCTCTGCATGAAATCGTTGTCTCGGAAACGTGTCTGAATATTCTGTTGGATAAAAAAGGATGTCTCTCTATTAGTTCAATATCTTGGAAATTCAGGCGTTTTGGGCGTCATTGCATATTGTTCGTTCCTAAGTTCCGCTACAGCTCTGCATTGATGCGCTGTCTCGGAAACTTGCTCTGAGGGTTTCGTTTCATTGGAATGGGAGTCTCTGTATTAGTTCAATGGCCAGGAAATTCAGGAGTTTTTGGCGTCATGGCATATTGTACGTGCCTGGATGGTACTATTTCTAAGAAGCCAAAAGTCGTATTTAAATCGAGTATGTAGTGTTGTTTTTTAAAATTACTCATAAATCATGCCAGAGTCGCTTAGCCCATTTTCCTTTCATTAATGAAGTACGTGTAGGCTCTATAGCTACGCACCTGTATAAACGTCCCTTCCAGCAACGTTTGAATGTGTAAACCTATTTTCGAGAATCTCGTAATATATATCATGACATTTTGAGCCCATCGGAATGCCCCAATTCGTAAACATTCCCATTAGTAATACAAACATTACGTTCTCTCAAATTGCTCAGCAGCCTTAAAGTTTTCGTAAACACTTTCCCCAGACAACGAATACGCTTTGAAGAATAGTGGAGCTGTTGGACGCAGAGTTTTTATGTGGTTCGTGCTTGGTCTACGTTCGAGTGCGATAATATTCCTGTTGAATCAGAATGTCTAGACTCTCAGAGACATCAGAGAACAAACTGTTTTTCCTGGGTCCATTTGGCAGTTGTGAAATAACGTGATTTCTGCTAATATCAATGTGTTCGTAACGTGTAAAATAAATAAATATTATTTTCAAGAGCAGTAGAGAAATCTAGTCATATATATATGTTTTTGAGCGCAATATTACAGTAAGAACTAGTGTTGTTTATTTAGTTAGAAGATTAAGAAAGAAAAGGGGTTGCTGTTAGGGCTCCAGTGACAGTTAGTATGACTGCATAAATGCAAATACACGTTGTATATTAGAATTGGTAATCATATTTATTGAAATTTTACAGAACCTTGAATACAAGTTTCACTAATTCACACATTTAACAATTCTCTGTAGCACACGCTTGAATCGTATTTAAACTGATGCTGTTATGTAACCACTGTGTATCCATTCATATAGTCTCAGAGGGAACCATGCTTCGAGAAATAGTTCCAGTTTTGCCCGTGTATCTCACCTAGCAATGGATCAAATACTGTTGCGTACTTACCGTGCCGTTGCCTAGGAATGAACGTTATCTCGTTGTCTGTTTATGGATCGTTGCCTAATAATTAGTCTATATGAAAAAAAATGTTAAGTCTTCTCTTCGTATGAGCGCATGGGTTTTGACTTTCCTTTGATCAAGGGGATTATAATATAAATATGATTATGGGATAGCAGAAACGCACATTTGTGGCGCGTGCAACGGTGTAGATTCTGGATCCATCACATCAGCCCAACTGGGTGATCTGATTCGAAAATATTGGGTCATTCAGTCCATTCCACGTGGGTTAAAGAAGCAACATTTGAGCAAGGCGAACTACGCCGAGCGAACACGGTTCATGCTGACGTCTCTTCGACATGCGAGACTGGAAGGTACTAGCAGGAACCTCGGTGGTCCAGATCCGAAGGCGGAGTGTAGAAGATTCACGATGCTCTGCGCCAGGAGTCTTCCCGTAGAAAAAATTAATATGAAAAAAATTATGTAGCATTTCCTTCACGGATAGGTGAATGAAAGCCAAGTGATTTATCTCCGTCTGTTTTGCCATGTGCATTCACTTCCATACTCTGCCTGTTATTCAGTCCTTTTCACTAGGGATAACGACGCAAGACTTGAGCAAACCGAACTACGTCGGACGAACACGTTTCTTGCTGACGTCCTCTTCGACATGCGAGACTGGACGCTACAAGCAAGAAACTCGGTGGTCCAGATCCGAAATCGGACCGTCGAAGTTTCACGATGCTTCGCACCAGGATTCTTCCCGTAGAACAAATTTAATTTGGAAAAAATTGTAGCATTTCCTTCACCGATAGGTGAATCCAAGCCATGTGATATATCTTCTACTGTTTCCCACGTGCATTCACATCTTTACTCTGCGTGATACAATAATCAACATTCACAACAGGTGGGGCACTGTTGGTCTGTCGAGTCTCTTTCTTCATTTCCTACTTACACAAGTTCTCCAGAAGGCATGTAGCTAAGTATGTACACAGAGTCCTTAGCAAATGGCGTTGAAGGTGCCTTTTAAAATCTCTGTGGTTTACAACTTTCAGCAGGTCTGCAATTCCCAAATGGCTGGTAGGATGAACTGTAAGTTGTTTCAAAACACATATCTCCTTCAAGCGAAAGATTGTCTGGCCGTCGCATAGACTTGCCGCGACACTGTGCAGCAGTATCTGCGTCGGTTCCAGGATGCATGTAGCTCAGTGTGTACACCGAGTCCTTAGCAGATGGTGCTGAAGGTGCCTTATAATATCTCTGCGGCATATAACTTTCAAGCAGGTCTGCAATTCCCACTTGGCTGGTAGGATGCACTGTAAGT